CGTACACTGACGTAGGGCTGGCAGCTAAGGCAGTGAGGACCTGACTCGGTCGTGCGTTTGGTCGTGTGCGATCGGACACGTCAGGTCATGGGAAAACGGCTCTGGATGCTTACTGGAAGTGATCTGACGCCGGGAGGCTACGAGGAACAGCGCGTCCGGTCATGGCGTGGCCGTGGCGCGCGCGAGTGCTTTGACGCTGATCGGAGCATTCGGTCTTGCGACGGGTGCGTCCGGTCTTGACTTAACCGCGCGGGCGCTGAGAGATAGCTGTTGGAGATCAGTGGCTCTGGTTGAATGGAGGCGACACGTGGCAACGATCTGGTGACCGGACGCAGGTGGTTGAGCGTCAGATCATTTCGACCTGTGTGTCCGGTCACCGCGAGCAGGGCTCTGTGATGAGCCCAACGACTCTATTTCGAGGGGATGCCAATATAAGGTGTTTAGCCAGCTCTAGCTCACTCTCTTGGCCATTTGCATTGACAAGCAACCTTGTGAGCTTAGCCAAAGCCCTCCCACTCATCTCCATCATTGATTCATCATCTTTGTGAGATTGAGAGCGAATCCAAGTGCATTGCTTGAGTGATTGCATCTAGAGACACTTGGTGATTGTGTTTCGCTGCGGGTTTTGCTTGTTACTCTTGGTGGTTGCCGCCACCTAGACGGCTTGGTACAGCAAGGATCATCGAGCGGAGGAAGGTGATTGTCTCTAGCTCCGATCGTGGTGATTGTGAGGGGTTCTTGACCTTTCCCCAACGGAGAGCCCAAAAGTACTCTAGTGGATTGCTCGTGGCTTGTGTGATCCTCATCTTATATTGGTTGTATGGCACCCGATTGCGGGTTAGGCGTGTGTTGCCTATAAGCGCGTGAACCTCCAAGTGAGTGAATCGCCACAACGGGGACTAGCTTACCGGCAAACAAGTGGACCTCGGTGAAAAATCATTGTGTCATCTCTTGCCACTAAGATTCTATTGTGATTGATTGATTTCATCTTGTGATTGGTTCATTCCTCGACACGGCGGTACAACTCACTATCCCTCTCGTGTATTTACTTCCCTAGTATAGCTAAACTCTTTAGTGTAACTAGTTTTGAGAGCTAGCTTGTGTCGGTCTAGTGTGGTTAGTGAGGCTCTTTAGTTAGTCTTTGAGAGCTCACTAATTTAGTGTAGTGACATAGCCTTTTTGTGCTTAGAGACTATAGAAACTAGAATTGTGGTAGGTGGCTTGCTTTTTTAGTAGGCTAGCGCAACATTTGCTTCACCTCATATTTGTCTAACCATCTTGCCTAGTGTTGTTGTAGAAATTTTTATAGGCTATTCATCCCCCTCTAGTCATTAGGACCCTTCACCGCTGCCATCAGGAGCAGTAGCGACGGGCCCATGCCTGGTCGCGCACTCCTGCTGGCCGCATGCTGCTGCTGCTGCTGCTTACCGACCGCATCAGGCTAGAATAAGGGGGGAGAGAGAGAGCAGCCGAGCATGCATGCACCTTCATGCTCCAGGCCCAGCTTCGTGCTCCACACCCAGCTTTGTGCATGCAGGGACCGCTGCGCCTGAGGGGACCACCTCTGCTTGCACCCCTAGCCGCGCTTGCTGATGAAGCACTTACAACGTAAATGGCATTTGCTGCAACAAACGTCCAAAATAGACGAAACATTTACAACATGCGCTTGCAACATATGTGTATGGACACTACAACATATGCAATAAAACACTTGCAACATACATTTGAAACAGCTGAAACATACACTTAGAATATACGTGTATAGCTAGTGCAACATATGCAACATCCAGATAAAATACTTGCAATGTATGTTTAAAACAGCTGAAATATTTGAAACATACACTTGCAACATACATGTATAGTCATTGCAACATATGCAACACCAGATCTACTTTTGCTACATCCAAATAAAACATATGCAACATACATCTGAAATGCATAAAACATATGGTTACAACATGTGCTCATCTACTTGCTGCACCACAATAGAGGCTCATTCACGTGGAGCTCGACACCGGTGTGGAGCTCGAAGTCGCCCAAGGCCGATAGGAGCGGATGGATCACGGCACAGCGGGAGTCACGAGGCACGGGGCCAGGCGCATCCGTCCCATCCTTTGGCGTGAGGCACGAGGCGAGGGGGCGCGACGCGAGGCGTCGGGGAAGATGCATCCATCCCATCCTTTGGCACGGGGGCGCGCGATGCGAGGCGCTGGGGCAGGCGCATCCGTCCCTTTGAGAAATTCTGAAAGTCCTAAAGGTGTCATTATCATAAAAAGATATGTATCATTCCATTTGCCATGAATGATAGATTGTTTTTTGTATTTTTCTTTGGTTATAACCCATGAGCATGTTTACAGTTTTGTGCAGCAGCTCTTCCGTTCGGTTCTCGAGACAATTTGGTTCTCCTCTATTAGCAAGTCAAAACTTGCTCGACCGGACAAGTTTTCTTGGCAAAGCAAGATTGTCTCGCAGAGCCTAACACCAGAGTACCTGACTGACCTTGGTATGGTATAGGCAAAGGAACGAGGAATCCAGAGTCCAAAATGGCCCCTTTGTCTGCTTGAAAGTCAGAAGAGAACGAGAAATTTCAATATTTGACATTGAGTTCGCAAGCCTCGCAAGATTTGACATTCAATTCATATGCCTTTCAAAATATGACACTGAGACTACGAATTGTTTCGATTCAAGGGATTTCACCTATTTTCTCTCCTTTTTCTTTTCCTGTAATGTTTTCACCTCT